TTATTTATTTATTTATTGGTGATAACCACTCAGCAAATGTGCTGAGTAGCTATATATTAATCTGCCGCGCTTTAGTAAATCCCGAAATCCCCGCTTCGGCTCCCCAACTATTATATCATAAGATGAAATATCGCAACATTATGTGCGCTCCCCTTTGACTAGACTATAGCACTGATTAGTCTCGTTTTGATTCCTATAAGATAGGAGGTACACTACTCGATTTTTAGTTGTCTAACTAAACAGTTGAAGGCTGCCAGACAATCGACAATCGCACAACAGTTGTGTGAAAGTTTAGTCAAAGTGCATTTAAATTGCTTGGGTATTTCCTTGAGAAATAAATTTAGAGATAAGTGTAATCATTACATTGATATCTCAAGATATTGTTAAGTTTAATTGCGGTTACTAAAATTAAGGCGCTATCTAACAGCTAAGTACAAAAGTTTTTAAGGATCATAAGAAAAAAACTTCCTTTTGGAATGTATTTTATAGAATATCATGTCTTATTCAATTCTACTACTAATCATATTTCATATAAATATTATAAATGCGAAAGTTTAGACAGATGGATGTTTGTTAGAGTTTGTGGCCTAAAATTTGGCATAGACGTAGAAGATAGTCTGGAAGAACACATAGGCTACTCAGTTTTATTTTATTCCACGCGGAAAGTCGCGAGCGAATGCTAGTTGCATATAAAAGCAAATATGCTTCAACCCTTTAGTATTTAAAAATCTTCATTCCGCAAAGTATCTAATACTTTATGGACTTTCCTGTATTAAGTTACAATGGGAATGACGTCACGGCTTAAGTAAATACAGTCAGCAGAACATTACTAAAAAAAACAGAGTTTTTTTCTTAACACTTTAATAAATAGAATAAAAATAAAATAAACCCTTAGCGAAAAATTGAGGCTTCAAGTGTTTTGGGAGCATAAAGGAAATCAAGTCATTTGAGTGTTTGAAATTTGATACCAAAGATTTTATAACAAGCAAATAAAGCCGCACGGAAATAGCTAGTCTTACTAATATTATAAATGCGAAAGTGTAGATGGATTTGTTAGATTGTAGCCTTATCAACTGAACGGATCTTGACGAAATTTGTCATAGATGTAGAGCATAGTCTGGAATTAATTCCACACAGACGGAATCGCGGGAAAAACCTAGTTATTACTATAGTTATCGTTTTTCCTGTCTTTTACTACTTTTTATATCTAATAATAAAGTTAAATACTTAATAACTTACAAACTTAGCTTGATGTTTTTTGTAATTTTAGTTTCTGAGAACTTTTTGAAATAATTATATGTTTCCTATCTCATGCTTACGTCAATAATAACCAAACATATATATTTATCCTTAAACTAATAGTCCCGTGTGGTTTCACCCGCATGAAATTATAAAAAAACACTATTTTGTCGTTTACGTTTGTCAAATTCTCAATTGCAAACGTCAAAACCGTTATCATCAATCTTGCTTCCTTAATGTTAGCAGCTTGTAGTTTATGGTCTCTTTCCCACGTGAGGCTTTTTTCCAATTTATTTACCTTTAGTTTAAAAGCGTGAAAATGTATAGCCTAAAGTGAAATAAGTGTAGGGCTTTTTATTAAAGAAAGGATTATTCAAAAATATGCTGTGATTGCTGACGTCATATGCCACGAAGTGAGTGTTTACGCTTTTTCATATACGTCAAGTTATGTTTAAGTACCGTTACATATACTAAGCATTATCTATGACTCATTGTGTTATGGAATACATGAAAATTACCAGGTAAATGTGAATTCCCATAAAGGCTAGAGAAATGAAGAAGGAAAAGTTATAAAATCAAAAACATTGTTCTTTGAAATTGTTCTATTAGTAGATAATTATAAAGACAATCTATACTATTATAATAAAGCGTAAACACACACTTCTTTGTTGCCTAAGATGTCAGCAATTACACCATATTTTTGAATAATTCTTTTTTTAATAATAAGCCCTACACTTACGTCACGATTTAGGCTATATATTTTCACGCCGTTAAACTTAGGTGGTAAATATTTTAGATAAAAACACTAATGTGGGAAAGAGACCATAAGTTGCTGCCAACATCAAGGAAGCAAGATTGTCATGGTTTGTCATGTCGTCATTGTGACATTTGCTATTTTGTTGTTTGTAGCCTAAACTGCTGAACGGATCTGGATGAAATTTGGCATAGATGTAAAACGTTGTCTGGAAGAACACATAGGATACTCACTTTTATTTTTTTAATTCCACGCGGACGAAGTCACGGGCGAAAGCTAGTCATAAATATTGTTCTTTGAAATGTTGCTATTACTAGATAATTATAAAGACAATTTAAAATCGATTTGTATTGATATTCATTTGTTTAAACATGGGTTTTCACATTGACATAATGTGTACAATAAGCATAAGAGCGGGCGCACACCATTGACTAATCCCCATGGTAACAAGAGTAAACTACATACCAGTTTCAAAGCTATGCTAAGGGTTTTTCCGTTTGGTTTTACCAGGTAAAGGCAACGTTAGTTTCGTCTGTAGATCTGTACGATATATCGTTGCCTCTTTTTTATTAAAGAGAATAAAAGGGACGCAATATTTTATTAATGTTAGTGGGCACTTGGTTGACATTGAAAGGGAGTGAGGTAAATACCTCATTTTTGTTAATATATCTATATAATATTTGTTAATATATATATATAATAAATCATTATAAAGCAGGAAAGGCGTACGGAGTCGTGGGCGAAAGCTAGTATACACAAGAATTATATTGTCAATAAAAGGTAGTTTAAAATTTGAGATACATTTAATTAAATTGGAATCCTTTTTTGCTGGCTGTATAAAATAAATCAGAGTTTTAGCCCATTTCTTTCCTTTATCTCAAGTTAAGTTCTTTTATACGGAAATAAAATATATTCTCACGTACTTAAAAGCTCTCAGTTTATTTACAGATTAAAAAAAATCGTAATCTACTTTTATTAAGCTTAGAGCTTGACACCTGAAACTAATCTATCGCACAACTGTTTAGTCTCCCTTTGATTCCTATGACATGAGGTGCACTCTATTCCATTTTTAGTTGTGCAACTAAACAGTTGAAGGCTGCGAAACAATGGACAATCGTACAACAGTTGTGTGATAGTTTAGTCAATTTGCGCTCTTATATTACAGTTCATATGTGTTAAAAAACTAGCAAATCGCTTCGGTTTCGCTTGGGGATAATGCTACACAAAGGCATACATGTAGAGCATAATCTTTAAGAACACAAAGGCTATTTTTGACCGACTTCCCAAAAGAAGGAGGTATTCAATTCGTCTGTGTGTTACGGCATAACTCCGCCGCTAGTGGACCGATTTTAATATTTCTTTTTTTATCCGAAAGGTAATGCTTGCGTGACCCTTTTTTGTTTGATTTTTGGAGTCAAGACTACGACGTAGTCTATGTAGATTCATTACTCAAACGTCATAATACTTTCAATTGTCAATTGTTATGGTAAAAATGTAGCCTTACGTAGAAATATCACAGCATACCTCTGCTGACACCGATATCAAAGTAATAATTGTACAATATAGACATAACAGTTACAATAAGGAAGGTTTACTATTAGTATAGTGTACTCCTTTTTTGATAATTTTTTTGTTTTTAGTGTATTTTGTTCAGAAGTCGGTTTTGTTTTTTTAATTCCAAGCGAACAGCATCGCTTACAAAAGCTAATAATTTATGTTATACTGATATATATTGATACAAAATTTGAGTTTAAAATATCAACTCGTATTTCTTGTTTGATTTTTTTACATAAGGATAAGGATCTCATAAAATATAACAACAAAAGCAAAGTTTTTATTCGGTCATTGGTCCTAAAAGGAAGTCCTAAAAAAAGTAAATTTAATATTGACTTGCATATATACGACAAACTTATATGGCTGGGTTACGGCGATATTATGGCATTTTTAAATAATCACACTTTTGCTAAACTCTCGCACAACTGTTTACTCTCGCTTTGATTCTTATAAGCTTATATGGAGGTACACAACTCGATTTTTAGTTGTGCAACTAAACAGTTGAAGGCTGCGAAACAATCGACAAACACAACAGTTTTGCGTTTAGTCAAAAGTGTGCGCCCACTTTTAGTAATACTGTTCGTTAGGATATAGTTAACGATAGATACGAATCTACGGCCACTAGTAATGTTTACTGTATTTCAAACCACTAAGATATTGGCTCAAATTCCGTTATACGAGTTTACTTTTAGGTATTTTCATGCGTTTTGGGTTTTAACTGTTATTTTATTTGATTTCAATTCTCTTACAAAAATATAAAGGAAACTGCGAAGTTTCTACAGGTAGTTTTTTAATTAATTAAGGTCCAAAAAACCCCGTAGCGAAGTTTCTAAGTGCTGCAAACGTCATAATGACGTTTAAATCGTTCGCGTATATCGATTTCCCGCTCACACACGCGCAGTAAAGGCCGTCGACTAGGGTGCATATGTTAATATCAATTCGGGATATTTTCCATAAATATACAGCTTTTTTCTCATTTTAAAGTATCGGTTAAAAAGCTACTATTATTTTAAAGATACACACACTTACGGTAAAGGTAAACATCGTGATGTAACCTGCAAATATCGGCGAAGAAATTCAAAGATATTTGTGTTGTCAACCCGCAGTAGACCAGCGTGGTTGACTAAGGCCACTTCTTATTTCGAGTAGGTTCCGAGCCTTCCAGTGGGGATGTACATTGAGCTGGTGGTGATAGAAAACAGGAGAGGATGAGAATTCTTAATAGTTTTAGTTGTTAGTAAGTTTGGGTAGTTCACGACTGTCCCACAATTCTCTCCGTAGTGTCTACACTTCTTATCTCCTTTAACACCTATAAATTTCTTTACTCTTTTACCTATAGACATACGTATTCAAAATTACTTTATCGTTTAAATATCTATATTGGACAGTCCTCAAAAGTGTGTAAAGTGTGGTGAACGTAATTGCACGTACAAAAATCATCTGTTGGACTCGATATCGCTCAGTCAGCCATAACACGACGCGACGACGCGTCACGTCAGCCATCTTTGTTTTTGTTTGCTTGGTTTTTATCAAATATAATTTTACACGTACGTATTTACATAATTATTAAAAGTTCGATGTGTGCGATTGTGTTGATAGTGAATTAACAGTAAGTCAATATAAAAAATAACGTTTTTATTCGCGTTGTAAATATTCAATTGATAGTTTTTTAATTAACTCTTTTATTGTATACGATATTAGGTTTATTAAAACTTCCGATAATCGTTTGAGTATCAAGATGTTTAAACATCTTAATCAGCCTTGAGTTACTTCGTAATTTGTAAATAAACAATTTTAAACTACATATGTTAAGTAACAAATTAGTTATATTTTTACTTACAATCATTTAGATTATTCAAATTGCTTCTATTCTAATAAATACTTTAGGTAACTAACCAAGAATAATCTTTTAGTGAAAACTTTCATTAAAAAAAAATTAAACTTTCTAATTCGTTATTTCTATATAAGATTAAAATATTTTATTCTCATAGTTTTATTGCAAACAGTTTAATCAAATAATTATTTTTATTTACGAAACAATTGACATTTCTATTTCCCGCCAAATATCTTGTCAATCAATCTCTAGGAAGTAACGTACTTTAGGTTTGTAATTCGTGAAAAAAGATTCTAGACTTTTGATTAGGTAATATGAATAACAATTGTAGGCTTTTCATTATTATTTACTAGCTGTTGCCCGCGACTTCGTCCGCGTGGTATTAGAAAACATACGAACTATATAAATTAGAAAAAGCTACGTATCCCTCGGGAACAAGATATTTCTCGGGGATGAACCTTATCCCATGTGTACTCCAGACTTTGTTTTATATCTGTGCCAAATTTCAATAAGATATGTTGAACCGTTGCAGAATGATCGAGTAAACATTAAAAAACTAAATTAATGAATCCCACAGGAACCGTAACTATTCCCGGGATATAAAGTAGCCTATGTGTTCTTCCAGACTATGCTTTAAACCTGTGCCAAATTTCATCGAAATCCGGTTTTCCAAACATTCTTTCACCATTAAAAAGCTACGTTATCAGTGAGTAACATAGGCTATACTTTTAATCTTACTAATATTATAAATGCGAAAGTTTAGATGAATGGATGAATGGATGGATGTTTGTTGTAGTTTGTAGCCTAAACGGTTGAACGGATCTCGATGAAATTTGGTATAGATGTAGAGGATAGTCTGTAAGAACACATAGGTTACTCACTTTTGTTTTTATTTTAATTCCACGCGAACGGAGTCGCGGGCGAAGGTAGTTAAAAATAATTACATGCCAACTTAGTCGTGAGCCGCTATTCATAAATACACACTAATAACACTTAAACCACGTTAATTTGATAGACTTTTGGTTTTTCAAAATATTATATATTTTTTTAAATAAAGTTTTTGGTGGCGATTGTACCGAAGTAACACTTAAGGACATGCGTTCACTTTTGTCGAGGCAAGGACATGCCTTGTTTAGAGTTTTACAATTTAATCTCGGTATAATGTTTCTTTGCGTACAAAATTAAACCACTATTGCATTCACAAAATTATACGATAAAGAACTGCTACTCAGTCCTTAATTTAGACATTTAGTTTATGTATAAATCCATCATCTTCCTCCATATCCTCCCGTAGGGTTGGCGCAACAGGCAGTCTCTCTCTTGGTCATGTCACCTTTCATGCAATCCATTCCTTTCTATGTCTACCTCTACCGGTGTACCTTTTCACACTCATAACTAACGTTCTCATTGTTATATCCGATTTGTCCCTCCTCATGCCCATGCCATGCTAACCTTTTACTACCTTCTCTACCCTGGGGCTACTCTCAAACTTCCTCTAATATCATTTCGTGTTACCCATCCAAGACCAACTTTAGTCCCTTTTCCTTCCCACTCTTTTTCTTATTAGAAAAGCATGGGAAGGGAACGTGGATTTGATGGTGCAGGAGACGCATAGGAAGGGGATATATCCTCTTTATGTGCGTCTCCTCCTCCGTCGATTAAGAGTAGCCAACGCACCCGATATTGCGAATGTCTATGGGCAGCGGTCGCTTAGCCATTTTGGCGGATTTGGGTAGCCGCTTGCTCGTTTGCCACCTCATGTTATATAAAAATCCATACTATGTATATATGAAAAGGAAAAAAAAAAATTTCTCCCGAAAATATTGAAACGATTTGAAAAATTCTTTCACCATTGGGTAGATACATTATCTGTGGGTGACATAGGCTATGTTTTTATAAATCCGCAAGCAAAAGTAATAATTTTGTGTAACCATTCTTAGCTCAAGGTTTGTGCTGGAAACCCGATCTTGTGATCAGATGTCCGTCCGCTAACTATTAGGCTATTGGTGTTTGGTTAAAGTTTTTCATTTTCGATATTATTTAAGCATGTATCAATCAGCTGGTTTTGTATTTAATTATGTTAGTAATAAAATTTTCATATGTAAATAATTGCATGTGATAAGAATCACGTTTTATGGCTAAATAAACAATGAGTCATAGAGTAATCACTGAAGTGTTGCCATGTTTTTAATTGCTACCAATTATAGAAAAAAATATGTGTACGTGTGTACAATCAAGGTAAAAATGTGTTAAAAAATTTACTTAACATCTGCTACCTTTTTCTGTATTTTAAATTTAAATAGTGAAAAAAAAATGATACGTTTATAAAACATGCTTTCAAATTAATGCAAACCCACGGTTAATTAAAGAAATAAATAAAACTAGCTGTTGCCCGCGACTTCGCCCGCGTGGAAACAAAAGTTAAAAAACAGCCTATGTTTCTCATCGATAATGTAGCTTTTTAATAGTGAAATAGTTTTCTAAATCGTCTCATTAGTTTTTGAGTTATTTCAATACATACAAAAGTACAAATCTTGCCTCTTTATAATATTAAAAAAATAGTTTAAAACCAAAAGTTAACTAATTTGACGAAATACATTTCAGTATTAAATGTAAATCAATACTTGTAACTCGTTATGACATTGTTTTGTTTTTTTTTTTTAATAATCTTGTAAACAGCGGAAAAGTTGACAGCTTGTGCAACCTTTATCGATTTTAAAATCATTTTGATTTTTAAAACCACGTTAATTTGATTTAAATATTAAAAAGCCAAATTCCATTTGGTTAATTAAGGCCTGTCCCACCACTGGCTGATAGAGTCTCAGATAGTATAATGTCTCTCGAAAGTTTTGATAAGTTAAGAGTCTCAGATAGCTTAAAAATGACGTCACTGTCTGTAAGGTAACAAAATCCGATATTCACATATTTTAAAAGTTTGATTGTTATCAGACAATTTACAATTTGGTAGGACTCATTAATTTCTTTAAATGCGCAGATAGCTAGTTTATTAATATAAGTATTATTGTATAGTTTTCCTGTGTTTTTTAACTGTCTAATTACAATGTCCATTTAGTACAAGTTTATCTTACATGTAATTGTTACGCAATCTTTCGTAATACGTTTTGAGGTTAGGGTTCCGTATAGCGGATGACTTTAGTATAATTTTTATACTAAACACAAGTTTTAACAGAGATATATTTTTTTGTATATATTCATTTGTTTTATAGATTTGTTTATTGTATTATAAGTTACTAGCTGTTGCTCGCGACTCTGTCTGTAAATAATTTTTGAAATCGGCTCAGTAGTTTTTAAGTTATTTCATTACAAAGAAACAAAGTTTTCCTTTTTTTTATTTTAGTGTAAACTAGCTGTTGCTCCCGACTTCATCTGCGTGAAAATAATAAAACAAGAAGACAACCTTTGTCACTTATAATGGTGGAAGACATTTTTTGAATCGGCCCAGTAGTTTTTGAGTTATTTAGTTATTTAAAATACAAAATCTTTCCTCTTTATTACTATAGATTCTTTTCGTGTGTAAAGAATGATTTTAAATACTGATGTTGCGATTGTAAGGGAATAGATAGTTTTGTGTTTATTTTTAATTTGTACGGAACACACGTATTAACACGATATGTTACAAGAGTGGATATGTGTGGAATTCTAATAATATTCAAATATCGAACTAGATTTGTTTCGATACGTTTTATTGTATGAAAGTGATCCACTTTCCTTAACATAGATAACTTTCTAAGTTTTTTTAATATAAAAAAGGATCTTTTACATAAATCACAATTTCACATCAATATTATTTTAATTTTCAGAAAAAAAAATAGTAGATAATTAAATAAAAGTGTGAGTCCTAATTTTAGTCCCTTTCCACCCTTTTATAAGAGAAAACGATGGGAAAGAAAAGTGGATTTGACGGTAGAGGAGACGCATAGGAAGGGGAAATGTCCTCTTTATGCGCGTCTCCTCCGACAATGAAGGGTAGGCAACGCATCTGCAATAGCAGATGTTTATAGGCAGCGGTCGCTTTCCATTTCGGTGGATTGGTGGTCGCTTGCTCGTTTGCCATCTTATATTATAAAAAAACTTATTCATTACTAATATTATAATTGCGAAAATAAAGATGGATGTTTGTTAGAGTATAGCCTAAGCTGCTGAATGGATCTCGATGATTGTCATAGATGTAGAGGATAGTCTGGAACACATAGGCTACTTTTGTTTGGAGCGAACACCCATAGTAATGTGACATGACACACGGAAGTGTCACAACCTTGATTCAGATATCACAAGGCAATAATAATAAAAAGAACCAGTTCAAATTGTTTACAAACAATAACTTCGACTATTCGTAGATATACAAACTTTATAGATAGAGCTTACAGGTACTTAGAGCACACCTTTGATTAAACTATCGCATAACTGTTTAGTCGCATTTGATTCCTATAAGCTTATGGGCGCACTACGAGATTTTTAGTTGTGCCACAAACAGTTGAATTGACTGCGAAACAATCGACAATCGCACAACAGTTTTGCGATAGTTTAAAGGCTACGATTTAAGTAAAAATATTATCTATAATAAGAATTTAAATTATTTATAATAAAAGTACGATACTAATATAACATAAGTCAAGAAACCTTGCAAATGAACTATTTAATATTGATAAACGATTAACCTCCAAAGTAACTAAGACCTTAAGTTACTATTTCTAATAACTTAAGGCGAGCTAGGTGATTTATCGAATAGATTAAATAAATGAAAAGGTTACTTATCAAGTAAGAAACTAAGTTACGCTCCGGATACTTAGAGCGGGCTCGTACACAACAAACGCGGTTTGTAGACAGACAGATTCAAAAATTTTAAATGCGATTTTCGTTATAAGCAATGCAAATACGTCATCAACTTGCCCTTATCCCTTACGGAGGGGCACAGTATGTTGCTCTTCCATACATCTCTAGCCGTCATATCTGAATCCACTCCTTTCTTAAGCATATCCTCTTTCACACAATCCATACTTTCTTCTGTCTTCCTCTACCTTTGTAACCATCCATATTTATTCTTAATACATCATCTTCCCGAAATCTGGTATTTTTCTTTGATATTACAAACAGACACTACATTTTTATTACATGTATAGATTAGACACAATGATTAAATTATCTAATATAGAGTATGTATAGATGAACAAGTTGATGTATAGATGAACAAGATTTGTGAAAAAAGATCATAAATATATATTTGAATCTCGTTAATTAAAATAACCTCATTTGTTTCTTGTTTTTAATGATGTAAATTGTCTTTATAATTATAAAATATTATCGGAAGTATAACTTTAATATAACTAGCTTTAATAGTACTGAAAACATTGTAGTCAACTGTGATAACCTTCGGGTTACAGAGGTTAACAAAATTGCCGCTCACTCGCTTTAGTTTCAATCCGACATTCGCACACATCGAACGTCTAATTCCAAATAGAATATTTAAAATTAATTTTAAAAAAAATAATTTCAGTATAAATTAATGCTAATTTAAAATGGCAACAGTCAACGGTAAAGATTTAAATATGGAACCAGCGGTGCCGCCATCTTCGTTGATCCGACGCGTCAGTTCGCGATCCATTCGAAATTCAATATCGGAAGACAAAGAAAATGGCGTCGATAATAATTCAAAGGGTTCCTTCGTCAGTAAATATAAAAAAGCACCGGAAGCGTTGAAGAGTTTCCATTTAAATGATGTTGAAAATGAATTAGAAGTACCCGGCACACCAATGACGCCACGGACGTCGACGACACCTGGTTTGTTCTTTTTTTTTTAATTCAAGGCAAAGGGTATTTGATCATGCAGCCATTTTATTTTATGCCAGATTTTTTTAATTGCTTAATGTTGTAGAGTTTTTTTTTTATTTAAACTTTTAAGTCGAAATCTTTTGGTCGAAAAGTTTTTACTAATTGAGGTTTTTATTTTTAATTGTTACAATTGTATTACGTTTTATAACCTGTTTCTTACGGCCTGATTGATAAGCGTTTGTATTATTTTTATCAAGTGTATTTTTAACATCTTTAATGCATTTAAATTTGTAAAAAAACAAATATTTTTAAAGAAAAGCACTCTTGGTATTATAGCGTTTGTAAAATCTATATTAAAAAACTAAAGCTTTTAAATCTATTGTTAATATATACATAAAAGAACAAAACAATTGCTATATTGACCTAATTACACAAAAAACAAAAGATATCTTTATTAAATATATAATATACGGATAAAAAATCCCGTTGTAAAATATTCATCCAAAACGTGTCGTGTACAAATTTAACCTCAACCTTTTTAATCATCAGAATGAAAAAAAAACATGCAGATGTTGCATTGTTTTAATGTTTGTGTACATCGTCCCTTTTACCTAGATCTCTTCCATACATTCCATATATGGATGGATGTTTGTTAGAGTTTGTAGCCTAAACGGCTGAACGGATTTCAAAGAAATTTGTCGTAGATGTAGAGGATAGTCTGGAAGAACACATAGGCTACTCATTTTTGTTTTTCTTAATCCACGCGAACGGAGTCGCGGGCGAAAGCTAGTTAAAAATAAATAAGGAACCTCTTGATAATTACAAGGAACGCATTAAAATGTACTTGACCTCAAGCTGATATTATTGATTTATTTGTTTACTTTTGTTAACATTGTTGCATCTAGATTGATTTGTCTGTCTGTAATTAAGTATTTTAATACAAGCTTTTACTCCCTTTTTCGTCTGTGCAGAAAAATGTGATATAGCCTATGTTACTAACTGATAACGTAGCTTTTTATTGGTATAAGATTTTTTGAAATCGGTCTAGAAGTTTTTGCGTTATTTCAATACGTACAAAAATACAAATCTTTCCTCTTTATAATACGTGTATAGACAATTTATTATTGTTTTAAAAATTAATTATATGTGTCATTAACAGGTTTTTAATGACTTTATAAGTAAAATGTAATACGATAAAAATGGGCAGTAATTAATTGGCCTTTTTATAACAATTTTTTTGATTAAAGTTCAAGTTTTTGGAATATTACGCCCTTTTGCGAAGGAATAATAGTTATTGTGCGACTAAGGGCCGGTTTCCCAGCTACTTTACCATTAGATTGGTACGATAACTTCCGCGTTTCCGAAGTACGTAACTAGAGTTTTACTCCAATGAAACTTAGGTCAACCTCAGTAATGAATCACTAGGTACATACTTCATACTATCATACTAATATTATAAATGTGAAAGTTTCGATGGATGGATGGATGGATGTTTGTTAGAGTTTGTAACCTAAACGGCTGAACGGATTACGATTAAATTCGGCATAGACGTAGACGATAGTCTGGAGGAACACATAGGCTACTCAGTTTTGTTTTTTTAATTCCACGCGGACGGAGTCGCGGGCGAAAGCTAGTGATAGAATAAATCGTAACTTCAGAAACCCAGCATTAGTTATGTGGTTGGGTAAAATGACTACAAAGTTTTTAAGATCTTGTGACATTAAGAGGAGGACGCTAATCGGATGTCACAATATAGTTCGACTTACACTGGAGATATCCTTGTAGGTCTATACCTGACTTGTATCTTGTGCGTTATTCTCTGCTTGATTGGGTTTTAGTTATTTTGTGAAAGAACTGTGATAACGTTCCCGGGTCAATTGTTAGTCGTACTATAGTGTAACAATTTGGTATAATTGAAGGTGTTATTGTATCTTCTTGTAAGTGTGAACGTTGAGGGGTCTGTAGGGTTGCCAACAAGCAATAATTATAAATTCGAATATTGCCGCGTAAAACCAACGATATCTTTAGTGGATAATGATAAAAAAATGTAGTAAAAAAAAGTCGATTGTCGTTCTAGAGCGGCCGTGCACCCTAGACTAAACTATCGCACAACTATACGATTGCCAATCGTCTATTGTATCGCAGCCCATTTAACTGTTAAGTTGCATATAGAAATCAAATCGAGAGTAAACAGTTTTGCGATAGTTTAGTCAAAGGAGCGCGCGCTCTTACTATTCACTTCGAAGACATCGTCAAACCAATTTTGGTAGCCCTAGTTTATAGATATCTGGGGTTCAATTGAGGATGTTGCATAAATGTTATTCGTATTAAGATATCTATACTATTATAATAAAGCGTAAACACACACCTCTTTGTTGCCTAAGATGTCAGCAATTACGGCATATTTTGGAATAATTCATTTTTTATGAAAAGCCCTACACTTACGTCTTACTTTAGGCTATATATTTTCACGCCATTAAACTTAGGGGTAAATATTTGGGTCGTTCTATTAATAGACATATTTTTACCTTTATAGTTTGTATTTATATCTATATGTACAGTCGCGTAACACCGCGGTGTTCTACTTTAGGGAAAATTCAAACGCCTTTGTTAAGAAATGGAGGTCACCCCACCTTTTTTTTAATAACATAAGGTGGCAAACGAGCAAGCGGCCACTTGAATCCGCCAAAATGGCAAAGTGACCGCTGCCCATAGACATCCGCAATTGCAGATGCGTTGCCTACCCGTATCCGACAGATTAAGAGACGCACATAAAAAGGATATTTCCCCTTCCTATGCCCTCCACCGTCAAATCCACTTCCACTTCCCATCCTCCTTATAAGAAAAGGATGGTTAAGAGAAAGGGATTTTCTGAAACGATAGTTTATGCTTACGAAGTAAAAATTATTATTTGTCTGTTCACATTTTTATAAATTGGCATATCAAAATAGGAATATGTCAAAATCAATACTTGAGAAATATAAAAAATTCGATAAATTGTACATACAATCTCGTTTCTCAACAGCCTTGTTCACTGCAAGCCTCTGCTTCTTCCTACAGATAACTATAAGATAGTAATGCAAACGCAGAGATAATAACAAAACGAAACTTAAAATACATTTATAAGCTGCGTTGTATTGGTTTTTGATCCGCGTTTCGTTTTTAAAATCTTCAAACAAATGAAGATTTTTAGCTGGAACACCGCCAGTTTCTTTTATTGTACTTAAACTATCGTTACCAGAAGAACTTTATAGGTCTAGGGGTCAGGTTAACGACTGAACCGTCTTTGATATAGTTCACTAAGTCCTGCGTCCATAGAAATTAATATTGCGGTTTTTTTTTATCAGGTCATGAGAACTGCACCTTTCACCATGATTTGGAGTTGGACCACAGGCCGCCGACCAGAGAGGCTCTCCTACCCGATATGGCTAACTCCTATAGACTTTTACTCACAGGTACGGCTTACTGCAAACATTAGCAGAAACCCCACACACCAAAGACCAGAAGACAATTACGAAGTAATTTCCCGTTTCATCTGGGTAATAAGACCTAGCACACCTTTGAATATCGCACAACTGTTGTGCGATGACGATTGGTTTGCAGCCAATTCAACTATTTAGTTGCATAACTAAAAATCTCATAGGAATCAGAGACAAAGCAGTTGTGCGATAGTTTATTCAAAGATGTGTCTTAGGGAAACTTGTACATTGATTGTGGGTCTACCAAATTCTCTGATGAATATGTAGTTAATGAGAATTTTTAATATTTCCAGGTTTGGGTGAGGATCCAGAGAGACAGGGTCTACTGAAGACGCCAGAAAGAGCAGCGAAAGCGATGCTGTTCTTCACCAAAGGCTACGATCAGAGCTTGGAAGGTAATGTCAAACAAATGTATTGCAGCTCGTGGAGATTGCATGTGTACGATATTCCCTCCATACATTGTACATACTTTGTAATTTGGATTAATCAATTCACTAATAAACTACTAAAAAAAAATTGTAACTAAAAAGTTTAAAAAATATTTAGTTATTTAAAAAAATATTGTTGGAAAAAATGTGTTTTACAAACTTTATTTTGCAAATAAAATTTCGTTATTTTTTATTTGATAATTCTATAAATAGCTAGCTTTTGCCCGCGAATCCGTTCTTTGAATTTAATAAAAAACAATAGTAGTCAATGTGTTCTTCCAGACTATCCTCTACATCTTTGCCTTTCATTGTGATCCGTTCAGCCGTTTAGGCTACAAACTCTAACAAACATCAATCTAATTTTGGCATTTATATAGTACTAGCTTTTGCCCGCGACTCCGTCCGCATGAAATTAAAAAAAATAAGTAGCCTATGTGTTCTTCCAGACCATACCATCTATGCCAAATTTCATCGAGATTCGTTCAGCCGTTTAGGCTACAAACTCTAACATCCATCTAAGCTTTCGCTTTCATACAGTACTAGCTTTTGCCCGCGACTCCGTCCGTGGAATTTAAAAAAACTAAGTAGCCTATGTGTTCTTCAAGACTATCCTCTACATCTATGGCAAATTTCATTGAGATCGGTTCAGCCGTTTAGGCTACAAACTCTAACATCCATCTAAAATTTCGCATTTATAATATTAGGGACATAAAATATATGTTTTTTTATCTTCCAGAGGTCCTAAACAATGCGATATTCGACGAAGACACAGACGAGATGGTAGTTGTAAAAGATATCGAAATGTTTTCTATGTGCGAACACCATTTGGTGCCATTCTACGGGAAGGTGTCTATCGGATATCTGCCTCAAGGCAAAATACTTGGCCTTAGCAAGCTGGCGAGGTAAATATATTGTATGAGTGTGAAGCTTGTTTGAATACAAGAATTGTAGCCTGTTTATTACTAGCTTTCGCCCGCGACTTCGTCCGCAAAACAAAAGTGAGTAACCTATGTGTTCTTCCAGACTATCCTCTACATCTATACCAAATTTTATCGAAATCCGTTGAGCAGTTTAGGCTACAAACTCTAACAAACATCCATCCATCCATCCATCCATCTAAACTTTCGCATTTATAGTATTAGTATGAAGTATGATATCACTAGGTATAGCTCGCGTCTTCGTCCGTGCGGAATAAAAATTGGAATAAATGTTTCTTACTCAGAGATAACGTAGCTATTTGGTGAAATAATTTTTGAAATAGGCCCAGTATTTTTAGTTTTTTCAATACTTACAAAGTTACAAATCTTTCTTATAATATTACATAAATCTTTTATAATCAGACTAAACTATCGCACAACAGTTGTGCGATTGTCGAAAATTCGAGTAGTGTGGGCCCCTCATATAAGTTAGGAATCATAAGATAAAAATAAAGATAAAGATACCTTTTATTATCCTTTTACATTACACACACACATTACACGGTTTAGATTATTTTTATTTATAAACTAGCTTTCACCCGCGACTCCGCGTGGTATTAAAAATAAAGCAAAAGTGAGTAATCTATGTGTTCTTCCCATCCTCTACATCTGTACCAAATTTCATCGAAATCTATTCAGCAGTTTAGGCTACAAACTCTAACAAACATCCATCTAAACTTTCGCATTTATAGTTTTTTTACAACTAAAAACTAAACAACTATTAAAACAAAAAAAAAATTTTTTTTCAAACCTTACACCGCTTTATTCCTATCGCTTTAAGCGGCTTTTACACCGAAAGTGATACTAAACCTTGGAATCAATGAGCGACTAAACAGTTGTGCGATAGTTTGGTCGTGCGCACGTTATGTATTGTCT